GGGTAATGGTGGTCAATTACAGGATGACTCCCAGGCACTCACTGAGTTTTTGAATAATTTCCTGATTTACAAGAATGCAATGATTTCGATGAATCGCATGAGTGACCTCAACTCGAGTTTTATACTAGAAGTAATAGCAAGACGTCTACCTACTCGACTGCAAAGGAAGTGGGTGAAGATGAGCTCCCGTATGGAGGATGAGGGTATCGAGCCAAAGTTTGATGATATCCTGAAACTGGTAAATACTAGTGTCAATCAATCTATGAGCAAGTTTGCCAGTCTATTAGGTCTCACCCCTAGAATAGAGCAGTCTGAGGGTAAAACGCAATCATTGATGACGAATAGGCCTCAGAGAGGTGGATATCGAGAAGGCTCCATGATGTCTAGTAATGCATATAGACTTAATGAGTGCAACAGGTTCCGTAGTACATCCTCAACTGATAGGTTACAAGATGCAAGACAAACACGGTTTTGTTTTACACGTGTGCAAGAGGTGCATACAGAAGTGAACTGTGAACCGGTGAGAAAGTTCAGTGATAAGCTAAATGTAAACTCCAGGCATGACTCCGAATTGTGTGACGATAACGGTGCGGTGAAGAAGTCTGTAGTTGCAACTGGTAAGCCGTTGTTGATAAAGTGTCACAGAATAGAGTTGCTGCTTCAGAGTGCAGTTCTGACCCTACAAGTTTACAAGGTATTACTAGTCAGAGTGAAGTTATAAAACCTTTAATGATTTGTGGGGAGGAACCAAAATTGTCTACTTCTGTTATTAAAGAGTTTGAAAATGATGAACTTGACGGTAAATTGAATATTTGTGGTAATGATCATGATAGTGCAGAGTTATCTATGGTTGATCATGATGAGATGAGGGATATGCCTACTACTGCTAAGTTGAACAAAGGTTCTGTACAACTTGAACGTAAAGTAGAACTAAATGCAGATTCAGTTGCAGAAGGCACGCATACTTGTGAGACCGTCAGTGTGATTGATCAGCATGTAGCCCACCTATCATCAGATGCCAGTGCTAAGCCTGAGCTGATAGTAAAAGACACCAGTGGTGGTGGTCTTGCAGGTAGACAACATTCTGAAGGTCGAGCAACAACAGCTTCTGATCCACCGCTAACGTCATCAACTGATATCAATCAGTCGTCGTTGGTGCTGTCATCCACAATGAAACAGACACCCATGAACTCAAGTATCTTGTGCAATGACTATGCTAGTAGCAGTTCGTTTGAAAGGACGAATATCAATGGTCAGTTTAGTGTGGATAAGCCAAGTGTAAAGGAGAGAGTAATTGTTAAATTGACTTGCACGAATAAAGGCATTTCTAGTTTCAAGTTACTATTTGAATGTTATTATCTTTGGTGTAAATTACTCTGTTTCTACACTTGGTTGATGAGATATGTCGTGTGTTTGTTGGTCATCTATATTCTACGATACAATGACATGGGCGTGTTGCCGTTCAGATTTGAGGATATAGCTGATAGAAGGAAGTTAGCAAATGAACTCTGCGACGATTTTCCAACCTAGGCGTCAACCTGAGAAGGGTTGTAGGCGTACTGCTGTAAGTCCTACAGTTCTTCAAAGGGTAGCGCATCAATGAGCAGTCCAATGTGCTTGGTGTATGATCTTGTACATATGTTCATATTGTATATACTGAATTGATATCATCTGTCATCTAGCTGTTGTTAATTCTGTTTGTGTCCGGACGACTTCCACTTGGATCATCAACCTGAGAAGGAATGTAGGCGTACTGCTGTAAGTCCTACAGTTCTTCAAGGGTAGTTTGTCATGCCGGAATCCACAACATTTGATGTAGTGATTCTACATATGTTTGTGTTAAATAGTTGTGTGAGTTCCAATTGATGTAATTGTTGGTTAATCTTGGTTGTGTCCGGACATTCCACAACTTACAATCGTCAACGTGAGAAGGGTTGCAAGTGTACTGGTGTAAGTCCTGTGATTCTTCAAAGGAATTCCATCGAGACATGAAATGCGAGTTTGTGTGTACTGTTTGTATATACGTGTGGTGTGTCCTATCAATTGGTGTTTTTGGATCCATTGTGTTTACTTGTTGTTTTCGTACCTCGTTGTTATTACGTAATTTTGTTAAAATTTTCGTCGTGATTACTTCTGAAGTTGTGTCCACTCTTCTACATCCATGAATGAATTGATTGATGTTAAGGACAGCAGATGGGTTGTATACGCCGGGGAGGCTATGCTATTGCTGAGAATGAAATGCACACGGAGATAATTGTTAGCTGCGGTCCGACACGCCGGGGAGAAAGAGTGTAAACGTCTGAGGCTCGCATGCGTCACCGCCACTAGAACTGAGGCAGAATGAGTGACAAGCGATTTCAGTGGTAATTGGTAATGAGTAGATAAGAGGATGTGCGTAGAGTATCGTGAGGTGCTGCCATGGTCACTTTGCATTCTGCAAGAGTCATTCTAGTAAGTGGCGATTGTGTTGCAAGATGTCAAGTGGGGGTCTCTGTCTGGAGGCGCAGGTCGTCATTGATGTGTGAGATTGTGCTGTGGTATGCTTGTGGTGTGTTGGCTTTTCTGTTTGTTTTCCATTTCAGCTCTGTCCGTGTGACCCAGGTTCTCGCAATGGCATCCAAGTCAACGTGCATTGGTCGTGAAGGAAAAAAGGGTTGGATCCCTGTTTTGCCGGGGAGTGTCAATGGAGTTGAAGATTGAACGATCAATTCTTGGTTGTTTGCTCAAATCAACTTCCCCAATTTTCGCGGAGGCATCAATACGACAGTCATCGTCTCATCGGTCGCTGTTCAGAAAGAAGAGTGAAACATCGTCAGAAGTAATACAGAGATTTATTATTGTAATATTTGTTTTCAGACCTTAGTTCGCTTATTCCTTTTATATGTTGGTGTAACAATAAACAAATCTAAAGCGGCAGATCAGTGTTTTGGTTTTTGCGTCCGTTATAACTAAGCGTTTCTGAGAAATCTTCGAAGAACAGCGTGGGCCCGAGCGTAGCGAGAGCTGGGCATTAACGGTTTATGAGACGTGATTGACAACATCGCATTTTAATCTCTGGGGAAACCAGAATCAGGTAGATCGACAGGCTCCGATGACCTTCACCCAAAGCTCCTCATGGAGGTTGCAGCTCACACAACCGGCCCACTGAATACTATCTTCAAACCCTCCTGAATAGAATGTTGCTCTGCGCCATAGTGCCACGCATCCACAAAGGAGGATCAGGACAGTGTGCTTCAGACTACAGGCCTATCAGTCTCACCAGCGAGTTAATCAAAATACTTGAAAGAATCATCAAGGAAGCTATCATGGTATATCTGGAGCACAGATCGTCATCCGAGGAGGCCTCTAATGCCTGTCAAATCTTACGCAAACAGAAATGCTGAGTCAAGCCAGGGGAAGGCAGAAGAGCCGTTGACGTTAAGTTCGTACACTTCAGCAAGGCCTTCTATAAAGTGCTTACGAACTAAGAAAGTCTTGGAATTCAGTGTGGCTTACTAAGCTGGATTAGGGAACTACTCATAGGTAGGAGAAAGACAGTCAATCTCAACTCAACTCTCCAGTACGTCATGGAGTGACACGAGCCACTATTCGAGCCCCTCTTATTCATTTTTTATATCAATGAGTTACGTATGCTCAATGATTCCCTCATGGACCTTTAATCAAATGACCTAAAATGTTTGCAGAGAGCCGAATTCCGACAGTCACATGCTTACATCGCAACGAAATCTCAACGAATTCTATGTATTTTCAACGAAATGAAATGCGAAACCACACGCAATGAGCACGCAAGCATCAGCTGATACAAACCAGATGCGATAACGATCCCATCATCTAAGACTTATATGGATCTAGATGTCATAATAAGTCCCGACTAAACAAACCATAGCACACTATCAATATCATGAGCGGGTATTGGCTACAAATCAGCCAATGGGAGTAACCCAGATGTACTTCCTCAACCAATGACAGTTAACTTTTGAGAACTGCGTTACAATGAATCTTAATTAGTGATTAATAATACATCATTTCAAATAATATACTCTTTTAATATAAACAATCAATTAAATATACTTTTACTATCTAAATACATCACCAAAGGCCCCTCTCTCAGAAATCTTTTACTGCACTGAAATCCTTCGAAGCGGGTGAATCCACAATTTGTATTTCCACTGCTGTGAGTTGTCTGCGTGCTTGTCAACCTTCTTTTTTACGAATTTTTCCAAGTAATTACTTGCACACTTATATGTTTTATATTGCAAATATAACAGTACTGGCCATTTTTATTGTTAGGCATAGCGTGTAAGTTGTGTAGACCGCAGGAATCCGTTTTTTAACCGTTTTTCCGATTTCTTCCAGGTAACATGAGCTCCGTCAAGCATCACTAATACACTAAATGACAGCAGACCACCAGCTAGTGTCGAACCATAACTTTGAATAACAAAAATGATGACAGAAGAGAAAGACGGGGGGCGGAAAAGAACAAAACGGTTATGAAAAATATCTTTGAAAAGGCCTACGTCTATTGAATACCAATCGCAGCACACAATTTTCCTGCATCATTTGTACTAACGGTTTATTCGTTTGATCAAGTTTACATTCAAGTTGAGCAAATTTGTAAAGTAATCCATTATGAGACCAGTTTAATTCAGACGTCATAGATGGTAAGCGACTATCAAGATACTTACTTAACGCTTCAATTGGTATATGTGGTGAATGCGCAGTTTCTTCTAGTTTCTCTGTATTAACGGTACTAGGATGACGATTAGACGTATCTATCGGCATCGGCGGTATACTTTTCTTATCTTCTAATATTGGATCATACGGATGATTTGTAAGCGATTTCAATGATGATGATGCTGATGACTTCTGGTATATGCTATCAGCAGTATCACTGTCTATCAGTAAACTTTGATCTAATAATGATCGATTTGAACTAATAATATTGGTGAGTGGTTTTGATTCTGGTTGATCGAATACATGAAGCATTACTGACCATCTTGTTAGTGATTTAGTCTGTTCTGTTTTTCCCGTTGTTTTTGTTGTATTGTATTAGTTAATTCGCTTAAAGGTTGACGAATTTGGCTATTACTACATGTTAGGTGAGTACTATTCATTGATGTACTGTAAGAATTTTTATTGGTTATTTGAGAAGTTGATAAATTGCATAATGTATTATTATTATTATTATTAATAAAGCCTACGTCATTTAGATCAGCTCGTAAAGTGGATGAGAATGAAAGTAGACGAATAGAATGATTACCTGATCCAATAGAGATACAATGAATTGGTGTAGACATATTCTGTACATTATATAACCATACTTCACCATTTACTAAACCAGTTGCAAGAATATGCGTTCTTGAAGCGACATCAATACTTAGATAACCGTGTTGTTCATCCACTGGTGATAAACATGTGACAGGTTTTTGTTGTTGTTGTTGTTGTTTCTGTTGACCTGATGTCGACAGTATATACCACACAGGCAAATTTAAATCTGGTAATCCTGCACTATACAATAATTGATCATCATTCGATGAAAATGCAATGCGTATACAACCTTCATAATAATCTTTGAATAACTTTGAATCATCAACTTTATATTTCATATCCTGTGGTGCATTGTTTGAAATGTGAACTCTAAGCTGTATTTTTCATAATTTTTACTTATCTTTGTTCTTTTGGCATTGGTTTTTTCCCTTTATTTATTTACTTTTTTGATTGTAAAAGTCTTATAAAATTTATGAGGTAATTAGATGCAATATATTGTAATGCATGCTGAAAATTCCATACCTGTACCACAAATACCGTTTGGAATAAAGCTGTTAATATTATTATTGTTATTAAACTGATTTCATTCATACTTGTAGCTAAAGATTTAACATCCCAATAATTTAAAATGTAATTGTTTGTATCACCAGTAACTGGCTATTGTATATTCCATAAGATTATAGAACCATTAGATTAACCACAGCATATGAGATGGCCATTAAATTTAGAAGTTTATAACATACAACATTTAGGTAGGGAAGTAACACAACCTTTGACCTGTGAATATTGACAAGGGAAAGGTAATACGATGTTTTCACATCGACCATTAGTACTAGTTTTATCCGAAGCTGCTAAGAATAATACAATAGAGCCATTATTATATCCAGCAGCAATAATACGATCATTTAACACCCAACTAATACACTTGGGTTGTAATTCATTAGGTAATATATTAAATGGATGTAGATTAGTATAGCGTAATTGACATCGTAGTGTTATTTGCTTATTTCCACAATTATAAACAATTATCAAACCAGTATTAATGCCAACAGCTAGATATCTGCCTGAACTTCTAGGGAAACCGATACACGTGGCTGTACAATTTTCAGATTGTAAACTCAACGTCAGTATATCAGAAGTTGTCTTTCCATAGTCATGATTTTTGCCAAACAATAATTGTTGAAGGTAAACAGATCCACCAGATTTATCAATAACAGCTAGCTTAAATGATCGAGGATTCCACTGGATTGATTGAATCGGACTGGTTGATATTGGTTGAGGTTATACCTCCTTGTACTGCCACTTACCCCATCTTATTCGTTTTATCAGCACAATCAAGAATCTACATGTCTGAGCGACAGTTTAACACAGACATTGGTTGATTTTTTGTGATGAAAGCAGCTTGGAAGTGAGTTAGAAATTAAAGCGATCTGTGCCTTATTTACTGTCTTATAAGCTGAAGATGACTGTTTTATAGCAAATCCTGAATAAAAGTGACTAATAGGATTAATTTCTAATACCGTAGAAACGCCTTAAGGTGCAACCTTAGAACATTTCTCAACTAATTCTAATTTTCAACATGAATGGCACTAATTTAGCCCCTGTTCATCTTCTGGGCATTTTCTGAAGTAGCTCGGAACCTGCTGTGTCTGCTTATCAGCCTTATTTCAGCATTCTTAGCCCAGATTCAGCGTCCAGGGCTTTTTTTAAGAACGACCAGGGTTATTTCATTACATGATGTGATCATTTCATGTAGATAAAATATTCATTCACTGTAAATTGGCATTATTGACGAGTAGGTTAGAATTAGTTGAGAATTGTTGTAAGGTTGCACCTTAAGGCGTTTCTACGGTATTAGAAATTAATCCTATTAGTCACTATTATTCAGGATTTGCTATAAAACAGTCATCTTCAGCTTATAAGACAGTAAATAAGGCACAGATCGCTTTAATTTCTAACTCACTTCCAAGCTGCTTTCATCACAAAAAATCAACCAATGTCTGTGTTAAACTGTCGCTCAGACATGTAGATTCTTGATTGTGCTGATAAAACGAATAAGATGGGGTAAGTGGCAGTACAAGGAGGTATAACCTCAACCAATATCAACCAGTCCGATTCAATCAATCCAGTGGAATCCTCGATCATTTAAGCTAGCTGTTATTGATAAATCTGGTGGATCTGTTTACCTTCAACAATTATTGTTTGGCAAAAATCATGACTATGGAAAGACAACTTCTGATATACTGACGTTGAGTTTACAATCTGAAAATTGTACAGCCACGTGTATCGGTTTCCCTAGAAGTTCAGGCAGATATCTAGCTGTTGGCATTAATACTGGTTTGATAAATGTTTATAATTGTGCAAATAACACTACGATGTCAATTACGCTATACTAATCTACATCCATTTAATATATTACCTAATGAATTACAACCCAAGTGTATTAGTTGGGTGTTAAATGATCGTATTATTGCTGCTGGATATAATAATGGCTCTATTGTATTATTCTTAGCAGCTTCGGATAAAACTAGTACTAATGGTCGATGTGAAAACATCGTATTACCTTTCCCTTGTCAATATTCACAGGTCAAAGGTTGTGTTACTTCCCTACCTAAATGTTGTATGTTATAAACTTCTAAATTTAATGGCCATCTCATATGCTGTGGTTAATCTAATGGTTCTATAATCTTATGGAATATACAATAGCCAGTTACTGGTGATACAAACAATTACATTTTAAATTATTGGGATGTTAAATCTTTAGCTACAAGTATGAACGAAATCAGTTTAATAACAATAATAATATTAACAGCTTTATTCCAAACGGTATTTGTGGTACAGGTATGGAATTTTCAGCATGCATTACAATATATTGCATCTAATTACCTCATAAATTTTATAAGACTTTTACAATCAAAAAAGTAAATAAATAAAGGGAAAAAACCAATGCCAAAAGAACAAAGATAAGTAAAAATTATGAAAAATACAGCTTAGAGTTTACATTTCAAACAATGCACCACAGGATATGAAATATAAAGTTGATGATTCAAAGTTATTCAAAGATTATTATGAAGGTTGTATACGCATTGCATTTTCATCGAATGATGATCAATTATTGTATAGTGCAGGATTACCAGATTTAAATTTGCGTGTATCGTATATATTACAACAAAAACCTGTCACATGTTTATCACCAGTGGATGAACAACACGAGAACAGGCGGCATTACTGACCATCTTGTTAGTGATTTAGACTGTTCTGTTTTTCCCGTTGTTTTTGTTGTATTGTATTAGTTAATTCGCTTAAAGGTTGACGAATTTGGCTATTACTACATGTTAGGTGAGTACTATTCATTGATGTACTGTAAGAATTTTTATTGGTTATTTGAGAAGTTGATAAATTGCATAATGTATTATTATTATTATTATTAATAAAGCCTACGTCATTTAGATCAGCTCGTAAAGTGGATGAGAATGAAAGTAGACGAATAGAATGATTACCTGATCCAATAGAGATACAATGAATTGGTGTAGACATATTCTGTACATTATATAACCATACTTCACCATTTACTAAACCAGTTGCAAGAATATGCGTTCTTGAAGCGACATCAATACTTAGATAACCGTGTTGTTCATCCACTGGTGATAAACATGTGACAGGTTTTTGTTGTTGTTGTTGTTTCTGTTGACCTGATGTCGACAGTATATACCACACAGGCAAATTTAAATCTGGTAATCCTGCACTATACAATAATTGATCATCATTCGATGAAAATGCAATGCGTATACAACCTTCATAATAATCTTTGAATAACTTTGAATCATCAACTTTATATTTCATATCCTGTGGTGCATTGTTTGAAATGTGAACTCTAAGCTGTATTTTTCATAATTTTTACTTATCTTTGTTCTTTTGGCATTGGTTTTTTCCCTTTATTTATTTACTTTTTTGATTGTAAAAGTCTTATAAAATTTATGAGGTAATTAGATGCAATATATTGTAATGCATGCTGAAAATTCCATACCTGTACCACAAATACCGTTTGGAATAAAGCTGTTAATATTATTATTGTTATTAAACTGATTTCATTCATACTTGTAGCTAAAGATTTAACATCCCAATAATTTAAAATGTAATTGTTTGTATCACCAGTAACTGGCTATTGTATATTCCATAAGATTATAGAACCATTAGATTAACCACAGCATATGAGATGGCCATTAAATTTAGAAGTTTATAACATACAACATTTAGGTAGGGAAGTAACACAACCTTTGACCTGTGAATATTGACAAGGGAAAGGTAATACGATGTTTTCACATCGACCATTAGTACTAGTTTTATCCGAAGCTGCTAAGAATAATACAATAGAGCCATTATTATATCCAGCAGCAATAATACGATCATTTAACACCCAACTAATACACTTGGGTTGTAATTCATTAGGTAATATATTAAATGGATGTAGATTAGTATAGCGTAATTGACATCGTAGTGTTATTTGCTTATTTCCACAATTATAAACAATTATCAAACCAGTATTAATGCCAACAGCTAGATATCTGCCTGAACTTCTAGGGAAACCGATACACGTGGCTGTACAATTTTCAGATTGTAAACTCAACGTCAGTATATCAGAAGTTGTCTTTCCATAGTCATGATTTTTGCCAAACAATAATTGTTGAAGGTAAACAGATCCACCAGATTTATCAATAACAGCTAGCTTAAATGATCGAGGATTCCACTGGATTGATTGAATCGGACTGGTTGATATTGGTTGAGGTTATACCTCCTTGTACTGCCACTTACCCCATCTTATTCGTTTTATCAGCACAATCAAGAATCTACATGTCTGAGCGACAGTTTAACACAGACATTGGTTGATTTTTTGTGATGAAAGCAGCTTGGAAGTGAGTTAGAAATTAAAGCGATCTGTGCCTTATTTACTGTCTTATAAGCTGAAGATGACTGTTTTATAGCAAATCCTGAATAAAAGTGACTAATAGGATTAATTTCTAATACCGTAGAAACGCCTTAAGGTGCAACCTTAGAACATTTCTCAACTAATTCTAATTTTCAACATGAATGGCACTAATTTAGCCCCTGTTCATCTTCTGGGCATTTTCTGAAGTAGCTCGGAACCTGCTGTGTCTGCTTATCAGCCTTATTTCAGCATTCTTAGCCCAGATTCAGCGTCCAGGGCTTTTTTTAAGAACGACCAGGGTTATTTCATTACATGATGTGATCATTTCATGTAGATAAAATATTCATTCACTGTAAATTGGCATTATTGACGAGTAGGTTAGAATTAGTTGAGAATTGTTGTAAGGTTGCACCTTAAGGCGTTTCTACGGTATTAGAAATTAATCCTATTAGTCACTATTATTCAGGATTTGCTATAAAACAGTCATCTTCAGCTTATAAGACAGTAAATAAGGCACAGATCGCTTTAATTTCTAACTCACTTCCAAGCTGCTTTCATCACAAAAAATCAACCAATGTCTGTGTTAAACTGTCGCTCAGACATGTAGATTCTTGATTGTGCTGATAAAACGAATAAGATGGGGTAAGTGGCAGTACAAGGAGGTATAACCTCAACCAATATCAACCAGTCCGATTCAATCAATCCAGTGGAATCCTCGATCATTTAAGCTAGCTGTTATTGATAAATCTGGTGGATCTGTTTACCTTCAACAATTATTGTTTGGCAAAAATCATGACTATGGAAAGACAACTTCTGATATACTGACGTTGAGTTTACAATCTGAAAATTGTACAGCCACGTGTATCGGTTTCCCTAGAAGTTCAGGCAGATATCTAGCTGTTGGCATTAATACTGGTTTGATAAATGTTTATAATTGTGCAAATAACACTACGATGTCAATTACGCTATACTAATCTACATCCATTTAATATATTACCTAATGAATTACAACCCAAGTGTATTAGTTGGGTGTTAAATGATCGTATTATTGCTGCTGGATATAATAATGGCTCTATTGTATTATTCTTAGCAGCTTCGGATAAAACTAGTACTAATGGTCGATGTGAAAACATCGTATTACCTTTCCCTTGTCAATATTCACAGGTCAAAGGTTGTGTTACTTCCCTACCTAAATGTTGTATGTTATAAACTTCTAAATTTAATGGCCATCTCATATGCTGTGGTTAATCTAATGGTTCTATAATCTTATGGAATATACAATAGCCAGTTACTGGTGATACAAACAATTACATTTTAAATTATTGGGATGTTAAATCTTTAGCTACAAGTATGAATGAAATCAGTTTAATAACAATAATAATATTAACAGCTTTATTCCAAACGGTATTTGTGGTACAGGTATGGAATTTTCAGCATGCATTACAATATATTGCATCTAATTACCTCATAAATTTTATAAGACTTTTACAATCAAAAAAGTAAATAAATAAAGGGAAAAAACCAATGCCAAAAGAACAAAGATAAGTAAAAATTATGAAAAATACAGCTTAGAGTTTACATTTCAAACAATGCACCACAGGATATGAAATATAAAGTTGATGATTCAAAGTTATTCAAAGATTATTATGAAGGTTGTATACGCATTGCATTTTCATCGAATGATGATCAATTATTGTATAGTGCAGGATTACCAGATTTAAATTTGCGTGTATCGTATATATTACAACAAAAACCTGTCACATGTTTATCACCAGTGGATGAACAACACGAGAACAGGCGGCATTACTGACCATCTTGTTAGTGATTTAGACTGTTCTGTTTTTCCCGTTGTTTTTGTTGTATTGTATTAGTTAATTCGCTTAAAGGTTGACGAATTTGGCTATTACTACATGTTAGGTGAGTACTATTCATTGATGTACTGTAAGAATTTTTATTGGTTATTTGAGAAGTTGATAAATTGCATAATGTATTATTATTATTATTATTATTAATAAAGCCTACGTCATTTAGATCAGCTCGTAAAGTGGATGAGAATGAAAGTAGACGAATAGAATGATTACCTGATCCAATAGAGATACAATGAATTGGTGTAGACATATTCTGTACATTATATAACCATACTTCACCATTTACTAAACCAGTTGCAAGAATATGCGTTCTTGAAGCGACATCAATACTTAGATAACCGTGTTGTTCATCCACTGGTGATAAACATGTGACAGGTTTTTGTTGTTGTTGTTGTTTCTGTTGACCTGATGTCGACAGTATATACCACACAGGCAAATTTAAATCTGGTAATCCTGCACTATACAATAATTGATCATCATTCGATGAAAATGCAATGCGTATACAACCTTCATAATAATCTTTGAATAACTTTGAATCATCAACTTTATATTTCATATCCTGTGGTGCATTGTTTGAAATGTGAACTCTAAGCTGTATTTTTCATAATTTTTACTTATCTTTGTTCTTTTGGCATTGGTTTTTTCCCTTTATTTATTTACTTTTTTGATTGTAAAAGTCTTATAAAATTTATGAGGTAATTAGATGCAATATATTGTAATGCATGCTGAAAATTCCATACCTGTACCACAAATACCGTTTGGAATAAAGCTGTTAATATTATTATTGTTATTAAACTGATTTCATTCATACTTGTAGCTAAAGATTTAACATCCCAATAATTTAAAATGTAATTGTTTGTATCACCAGTAACTGGCTATTGTATATTCCATAAGATTATAGAACCATTAGATTAACCACAGCATATGAGATGGCCATTAAATTTAGAAGTTTATAACATACAACATTTAGGTAGGGAAGTAACACAACCTTTGACCTGTGAATATTGACAAGGGAAAGGTAATACGATGTTTTCACATCGACCATTAGTACTAGTTTTATCCGAAGCTGCTAAGAATAATACAATAGAGCCATTATTATATCCAGCAGCAATAATACGATCATTTAACACCCAACTAATACACTTGGGTTGTAATTCATTAGGTAATATATTAAATGGATGTAGATTAGTATAGCGTAATTGACATCGTAGTGTTATTTGCTTATTTCCACAATTATAAACAATTATCAAACCAGTATTAATGCCAACAGCTAGATATCTGCCTGAACTTCTAGGGAAACCGATACACGTGGCTGTACAATTTTCAGATTGTAAACTCAACGTCAGTATATCAGAAGTTGTCTTTCCATAGTCATGATTTTTGCCAAACAATAATTGTTGAAGGTAAACAGATCCACCAGATTTATCAATAACAGCT